CAGGATCAATTGCCTTTTTTCCCCAATTGGCAAATTCAGTAAAAGTGACTTATCTCCACATTTCACAGTGGGTGAATTTCTAGCCTGCCTCAAAATAAAATGCTGTTGAAATGAAGAAATTTTTATATCCTTTCACAGCAGTTTCATAGTCATGACATGCTTTAAGATTTGCAAACATTTTAATATTCTCTTCGTTATTTTAAATATTTATTAATTTGAAAGGCAAAATTATAAATAAGAAAGAGAAACAGAAATCACCCATCTACGGTTTCACTCTCCAGGTGTTTACAATGGTGAGGGTTAAGCCAGGCCAAAGAAAGGAAAGTGGAGCTTCCTTCAGGTCTCTCAATTGGTTTCATGGCCCAAGCTCCTGGGTCCCCTTCTGTTGCCTTCTCGGGCACCTTAGCAGAAAGAGAGCAGCTAGGAATTGAACTGGCATCCATATGGGATGCTGGAATTACAGAGAGCAGTTTAATCAATGCCTACTCAAATCAGGTCTTGGAATCCACCTGAAAATCTGTTTATATTCTTTTTTTTATAAAACATGGCAAGACTAACCAAAAATGTTTTTTAGGGTGTTCTTTTTAGATAGTATGTCTGACATTTAAATAAAGTCAACTTCTTTTGATTTGGTTAAATGACTTTCTTTTTACTAAAGTTACTTCCACCTAACAAAACCCTTTAACAATCGGCAGCCCTATTCTTGACCATGTGTCCTGTAGCTGCTTACATTTTACAAAACCTAACCTATGCTGAAGTATTCTTGCAAAATTAATTACAGGAATTGGTGTTCTCAGAGCTAATAAACCAATTATTTTTCTTCTCTTCACAAACCTTTTAAGTCCAGGATAAAAAAGGTCAATCAACATTCATACGATTCTGTTGGATTTTTTCTTCATTGCTCATTATTCCCTGAAAGCAATGTCATGTTCATCAAAAACGACATATTTTCCAATAATCAAAAGCTCATTCAAATTTTGTAACTTATTAGTCAAATATTTCCCGTTCTAGTCACTTGGCATCTTCTAAGGGAAAGTGTAAAACATTTCAGGTAATTTCTGGAATATTGAACTACTCCATGTTCCACACGAATAAGGTTTGTTCAAAAATCTCAAGTGAGATCTTTTCCCATTTTGCATTTAATTATCCATATTTGTGGGTGGCTACCCCAACAGTCCTCCACTTCTATGTGGAGACTACTTCCTGATCTCCTCTTTACACTCCAGGGATCCAACACTAGCATCCTGCCTGGTGATACACAATGTCCAGTTGTGTCTTCATGAATTCCCTCACATTCCAACACTACTGCACATATTAGAAATCCACACACTAAGGACTGAACTGGCCAAATACTGAAGACAACATATGGAGAAACTTCTGGCAAATCACAAAATTTATCAGTGTTTAGTTTGGAATGAGAACTTTGGATCCCAAGATGCGATTTCCCCAGACCCTTTCTCCTTGGAGTGATTTCAGTTTTCTTATCAAAATTTAGTTGGTTATACATATGTGTGTGTGTTAATCTCTGGTATTTCTATTCTGTTCTACTGATTTGCATACATATCTTTGTGCCAGAATCAAGTTATTTTGTTTATATCTGCCTTGTAGTATATCTTGAAGTCTGGTATTGTGATGCCTACAGCTCTAAGTTTCCTTTAGCTATTAAGGGTCTCATGTATTTCTAAGTGTATTTTAACAATTCTTTCTCAATCTGAGAAGAATGTCACTTAAAATTTCATTGAGATCTCATTAATCTGCAAGCCGTTTTATATATTGCTTTAGAATTTCAGTATCATTTTGACATTAATTTTGCCAGGCCATGAAGAATGATGATTTTTCTGTTGCCTTCTAGTTCTTTAATGCTTTATAGTTTTACTATTAAGATCCCTTAAATTCTTGGTTAAATTTATTTCAAGGCATTTAAAAATTTTGCAACCTGTGAGTGGGAGTTAATCTAAAATATCTTTCTCAGCCATAGAATTGCTAATATATATAAAGGCTGTTGATTCCTGTGTGTGAATTTTGCATCTTTCAGCTCCACCAAACACTTGTTATGAGTACCGACAGTCTCTGACTAAGTCTTTCTTGGTTCCATTGTATCAAGAATCATATCATCCCCAGATAAGGATAACTTAACTTTCTCCTTTCCAATCTATAACTCTTTACATTTACCCATTAACTCCTAACACTCATTGGTTGACTGAAGCTCTGGAAATGATAGCTCTTTCTGTCCATTTCTTTCTTTCTTTTTTTTTTTTCCCTGTCCATTTCAAACTGAGATCTCCAGGAGCCAGCTAAAGATCTCAAACACACAGAAGCCACCAGCATTTACACAAACACTGTCTGCAACTTCCAGGACAGGCCCAAGTAGGAGAATGAACACAGCCCTTGCTAGAGGAAAGAACGATTCAAACAGGAAAAAGGATAATACTGAAGAATTAACAGTGGATCTAATTTATCAGATAATCAATTAATAGTCTACGTGATGAAGTGGGAATTTGGTGCAGCAAATGCCCATGTGAAATGCATGTATCTTGTACTGAAATCGTGGGTTTGAGTTCCAGCTCTACTTCCAATCTCAGCTACCTACTCTTGGGCAACGGCAATGTTTTACGTAGTTAGGTCTCTGCCCTCCACATGGGAAACCTGAGTTGTCTTCCTGGCTTTGGCCTCATTCCGGAGGGCTTTTGCACATTTGGAAACTGAGTCAGCAGATGAAACCTCTTTCTCCTCTACTTTGAAACTTTAAATAATCAGTAAGTTATCCATAATTGCAATACTCTCAAAATAAACATAATGTAGTCGGTGCTTAATTTTTCCCTGTCAATATACTGGCTGGACATTAGTTATAGCTTCCCTTTAATGCTTGCACTTGAACAGCTGTTGCCAGTCCACTTCAGCACAGTGACAGCAAAGACCAGCCTCATTTATCATTAAAATTTAAGCTTTAAGGAGAAAATGTCTTCAGCATAGAAATAAAGGTGTCTTTTATCTGAACAAATAATCTGTGAAGTTAGATCTGTCCAAAATATGGAAAAACAAAGAATGAAATTGGCAAGATACAGATTTGGGAGGTATAAATAAAAAGCCATAACTGTAAAAATCACAGGTGCTGAGTACTAAATAAAGGATGACCAGCACTGTGAATGTCAGAATAGACAATTTTAAGATACTCTTACTGTGAAAACATGTTTGATGGTTATATGAAATTCAAATTTAATTTGGCCGTTACATTTTAAATTGCCTAAATATGGCATTCCTCATTCTGGGTCTTTTGTCTGTGAACCCACATACTAGACAAGATCCTGATCCAGCAGGAAAACCGAGAGCGACTTTAAATATTTCCAGGAATTCATTCAAGAGAGACATACTCATAGTTATGGATCCTAAATACTCTTGTAGAAATTCTAATCACAGAATAAGCATATTTTTTTTGGCAGCCAGAGTATAAAAATGTTATTAAAACTGAAGAAAGAGAAAAATATTTAGAGATATTTTACAGAACTGCCATAACACAGATACTCATTTTTCATAAAGATTTGCTTGTTGTACAGTGTTATGAAATGAAGGTAAAAAATATGTGAAAACAACTTAAGCTTATTCTTTACATTCATATTGCAAGTAATCTCCATAATATCTCTTCCAGGAAATCAGAAACTTAATAAATCACATATCCTGCATTACCCTATCCAAGGAACTCATCTGCTTTACAAGTAGGAAAATATTGTTATGTATTTTGAAAAAAAAAAACAGTTTTAGGCTATTGTATACAGCAATAACACACATATAACTGATAATTTATGAACCTGAGGTATTTATTCTAACTGTTGAATTCTGCAAAGTCCAACACAGCTGCATCAGCTTCAGGTGAGGTCTCTTGCTGACACCTTGCAGAGGGAAGAATGATGGGATAGTAGGACACTCACTCCATGATGGCTGTGTATGTGAGTGCAAGAGTGTGCGTGCACCTGGGTAAAACTATTGGTTATTTTCATAAACTACTCCAAACTCTGTATCATGAAATCTGTTCAAAGTGATACTTCCCATCGGTCCCTCCCTCCTGCCCACATTCCCCACCACCCTCTTTCTTCCTTATCCTTTGTCCCAGTTTTTACAAAGACATGTTTTCATTTCACATTGCAATCTCAAGCTTAACACTCCATTAGGTAAAGATATCAATACACTGCAAGTAGAAAAGTTAAAAAAAAAAAAAAGAGCACAACCAAACTGCTATTCTCCAGGAGTGTAGACAAAGGATGTAAACAATAATGGGGTCCCAGGATGCCGATCTGTGTCATACAGATCACATTTCCTTTGTATGCTGAGCATTAGTTATCACAGGTCAGGGAAAACATAAGATCTCTGTCTTTTTCTGATTGGCTTTTTTATACAAAGTTTTTAATCCATTAGAAAGTAAGGCATTCTTACACTGTAACTGGCTCTTCAAAGCTTCAGCTCTTAATTTCTTTTTAAGATTTAGTTATTTTTATTGCAAAGTCAGATAGATATACAGAGAAGAGGAGAAACGGAGAGGAAGATCTTCCTTCTGATGATTCACTCCCCAAGCGGCTGAAAAGGCCAGGGCTAAGCCAATCTGCAGCCAGGAGCCAGGAACTTCCTCCAGGTCTCCCACATGGACGCAGGGTCCCAAGGCTTTGGGCCGTCCTCGACTGCTTTCCCAGGCCACAAGCAGGGAGCTGGATGGGAAGTGAGAGTCTGCTGGGATTAGAACCGGTGTCCATATGGGATCCTGGTGCATTTAAGGTGCCAGGCCCTTCACCTCTTAATTCTATTGCATTGGCAGCTGCTGAATTTGGGAAACAGCAGATTCAAATGGAAACTGCAAAACTATCTGATAATATTTTCTTAAAGTGTTCCTTATGTGAAGCTCTCCCTCTGTGAACTGCAATCCTTGGCAGTCGTTGTTGGGTATATGTGGTATGCACGTGCATGCAGTGTCTGCTTTCTATTAAAAAGCAAATATAACAAAATTCACAAACCTTATGTTGTTGTACTTGGCGTTTTAGATCTTCAAGATCAGGTCCAAGGGGCTCTTCCTCCATTTTTCTTGTTCTCTCTTCTGTTTTTGTCAACCAGTCATCTAACTCTTTCAGTTTCTGGTTCTGGAGATCCATTAGAACTTTATGCAAGCTAAAAATTTAAAAGAGATCTATCAGTTTGCTATGAAAGGTACTTATTGTTGCTGAACGAAAAATTAGGTAAATCAGTAAAAAATTACCTATGACACATTCACTGTTTTTAGTATCTTTAAAGAAGACATAGGACCATAATCAATCACTTCTATAATTGTTTCACAGAATCCCTGTGTTTCACAATCTGTATTTCTAGAAATATTAGATATTCCATATAAGACATTGAAATGTGGTATCTGAGTCTGTAGTACATCTTGGCAATTGTTTACAGTTCCATTTTTGTTGTATTTACAGAGTTAAAAGTAATCCTTTGTCACAATTTCAACAAAGAGAGGAGGTCTCTGTCTCATATATTCTAGTGTTTGGATTTTGATCATCAAAATGTGACAAGACTGAGACTAGTAAAATTATTCTCTTTTTGAGCCCAGATTCCATGCTGGAATGAAGGCCAACCTATATTGTTAATTATTTAGAGCCCATGTGACAAATAACTCTGGAGAATAAAATGGTTCCTTACAAATTGGCTTCAACACAAACCTAACTCATGGAGTGAGCCCATCTCCATCACTGAGATAAGAAATACTGGATCAGTCCTGTCTAGATTGTTCACCTACATACAAGTCATAAATTATGCATTGTTATTTTAAGCAATTTTTTAAGTATTTTTTAAAAATTTATTCCAAAGGGTTAGAGATAAGGAGAGACAAAGATTTTCTATCTACTCATTCACTCTCCAAAGAGCCCCAAAGGCTTGGGTTGGGCCAGCTAGAAGACAGTACGTAGGAGTTTCATCTTGGTCTCCCATGTGGGCCCATGGTCCCAAGGACTTGGGTCATCTTCCACTACTTTATCAGGCACGTTAGCAGGAAGCAGAATAGCCAGGACTTGAACCAGCAACTACTTGGAATGACAATGTTGTAGGTAGTAGTTTAACCAGCTTTGCAATACTGCTAGTCCCAGAACACTGTTTGAAGTGATTTATTGTGCAGTTGAAGGGGCATTTTAAAAAATACAAAGGAGTGTATTAATACATTTCAACTCCAAAGTTCAACCTATTAGCCCTGCAACAAAATGGGTACACATTCTTAGCTGTCTGTCCAGAGTTCGTGGCAGAGAAAAAGTTGCCTATCAATTGCATAACCTTGGGGTGTATTAATGATTAAAGTATAACAGTTCGTTTCAACCACTAACTCAACAAAAATCTGAAATTCATATGCTGAATGTTTCTATTGGAAGGCATATATTCTTTATGAAAGTAACATGTAAAACATTTTTGGAAACAAAATGCTAAAAAGTGAGCCTTTAAAGAGGTTAGATTTATAGTGAGAATGTATTAGAATTATTTACAGATTATCTATCAGGAGTTTTCATTAACTGGCAGTTAAATGCACAAAATATACACAGAACTAAGAGGGTTTAAAATAGTTTAAACTACATTTGTTGACCTTTTACCATTTTACCAAAAAATTACCTGAGGCATACTGAAATCAGTCTTTGAGAATGAACTCACTTATCAAACATACAATTTATTCTGCCATTAGTTAATTATAATTCTGCTCATGCTTAATAATCTGAGCAACCAAACTGAGCATGCAAGGCAAAGAAGCATATTATGGTAGTGCTGATATCTGGAGAAATCTACAGCTTGAAAACATACTGGAAAAAAGCAGGGAGTACAAGGCTTCCAGATCAAAGGAATCACCTGTGGAATGGACTTAAGGGATCGTGCAGCCCCAAGAAGACCAGTGCAGCTGGTTGCATAAGGACCTGGAGACTTGTAGAGTAGCACAGCCTCCATTCAGCACTGGCTACTAGCAAGTTTCAGACTGTATCCCTATCCAAAAATCTGAAACTCCAATACTGTCCTATGCTTGATCACGGTTTCATCTTATAAAACTGGACTTGAATTCTATCCAATAAATGTACCAATATTAATATGTATCCAATATCAATGTTGGATTGTGGACAGGACCAGAATGACCAGGTGGCAAGTGGTGTGCATGGCTACTCCAAATGCAACATGTGCGGTTTAATATTTTAGCAACTGCAATGTACAACCTGGTCAACAGATTCTAGCTAAAAACAAAAACAAACAAACAAAGCCTTTCATCTCTTCTGTACACCAACAGTTCTCAAAGTCTGGTCTCCGGATCGTCAGCAGCCGCCCATCCACAGGTGAACTTGTTAGGAGTGCTAATTGGGACTTTGACTCAGAAAATCAGAGCCAGCCAGCCAGGTGATCGCTATGCAGGCCTAAGGTTAAAACTCACTGTTAAAGGTAACCCACAATCCTTATACAAACCTTATAGAAACTCAGAGACTTAAATATTTATACTCAGAAAGCTACTTTTTAAATTCATTTTGTTTGATGTTACAGTTCTAGAGGCTCTAGGGATTTCCCTTTCCCTCTCTCTAAATCTACTTTGCCATGAGAGAGTCTCATCCTGGCTTGTCCCTTGTTGATAAAGAACAATTACACCTGGCCCTGTGCTCTGAAAGAGAGTCTAAAAGGCATGGATTTCAGCCATTTGCAACCTGAAAATAACACTGGAATAAGGTTGAAAATAGGATACAAAGCTGGCGGGAATGTGACGCCAAATTAAATATAAAAGTATTTCAAAAGAGAAATCTTTCAAAAGAGTTCAAAAAAGTTGACACAACGATTTGAAAGGCAATTTTTTTTACACGTAATGTTATCAAGTGTTTGAACACTCCTTGAATAAATGAATTTCAGCAAATCCTGTACCGGCACAGACATCTTTCACTTGTACTTTGTATGAACTTTTGGACACTTAATAATTCACGCTATTTTAGAAACTGTTCTGAGTAGATGATTAAGAGAGCCAACACTCATAGATTTTGGCTTGGTATTATTAAATAGTAGTCAATATCTATTTTTATCTTATATGAGTTGAAGTATATACGGTTTGAAGTATAAGAGGGCATCTTACATGATTTGAGAAGAAGTTGAAATCATTGCCAGTACATAAAAAAAATCATAAACTACCACTTACCAACGGCAAACCTGACCCTTCTTGATAATATCTAGCATGTCCTAACATGTTAAACTTACTTTCTCACATAAGCATCTATTTACCTGAACAGCAAATCGTACTTTACGTACCAAGCATAAACTCACCAGAATTCCAAGAACCCAACAACTCCCTGGCCTCCTCTACATTCAACTCACCTCCTTTTTCAAGCCTCCTTCCTGGCTCCCACAACACACACTTCGTGGTCACAAGCTGCAATTGTGAGCGAAACTGCCCTGCCTCCCGAACTTAAATAGGCCTCCAAACAACTCAGCTGATTCGGATCTAATTAGAACCACTGTTTCTGAGAAGCTTCCATGCTAGCATGCTTACAGGTGAAGCTAAGGTGGCTGGGTTATGAATGCAGTTGAATAAGAAGAAGCCTGGTGAGGCAATCATATAATTGGATGTCACAGCTATTATTTATTTTAAGGTTCACTTTTTTTTAGTATGGTTAAAATTTATTTTTTTGTCAATTTTTTATTTTGAAGTTTTGAATTTTATGGCATGATTTCCTTATTGGAAAGGCAGATTTACAAAGAGAAGGAGAGACCGAAAGAGCTTCTGTTTGCTAATTTCACTACCCAAGTGGCCACAATGGCCAAGAGCTGAGCTGATCTGAAGCTAGGAACAAGGAACTTCCTCCAGGTGTCCCAGGCAGGTGCCTTGGGCCGTCCTCTGCTTTCCCAGGCTACAAGCAGGGAGCTGGATGGGAAGTGCAGCAGTCAGGATACGAACCAGCACTCACATAGGATCTGGACACATGCAAAGTGAGGATTTAGCCACTAGGCTATCGCACCAGGTCCCATGGTTGTTCTTTTTGAGATGTGTGCTTGATCCACTGGTTTCCCAAAGCTCAAAATCCAAAATATTAAGAGACATATATTCAGCTCATATTTCAAAAAAAAAAAATCACTAAAAGACATCAGACTTTGGATGTCAATCCCTGTCTCTAATATCCTAGGCTTAAAGGGGTGACAGACCTACTAAGGTGGCTTTCCTCAGTTGACATCCACATATTTCACGATGCATACTATCCAATCAGGAAGTGTGCTTCTTAAATTTATCCTGTCTAGTGTACGCTTCACTTCGAGTGAGATGAATTCCTAAGCAGCAGGTGGGAAAATTATGATGGTGAAACATCAGAGAAGAAAATGAACTTGAAGATACGACTAGTCTACAAAAATTTTGATGTTTACATGGGTAACCTTGAGGAGCAAGGAGGTGAACGGAGACCCACGGGCAAACAAAATTGGAGGGAGAAATAAACATGATGCAGCAGTATCAGAAGGTGTCGCTGGGACCCTTCACACACAGACATCCTCCTTCCCACGTGTGGTTGAAGAAAGGGTAACCCCAGAAAGGGGGAGGGGGACTAAAAATAGAGTGCAAATGAGATAAATTTCCAATACTGATTTTGCTAAATAAATTCGGTAGCACAAAAAAAAGCAGTTCAATCATTTTCGGTTTCTGTGTATATATAGTATGTGATGTGAAGTCTACCCGATTTATATACATGCACCCACGTAATTAGAACGGGATGAGGCTAAGTAAAAATTATTCATTTCTGGGAAATGTAGTAAACATTGCGCTGATAAATGGTATGGAATGACTGTGGAGCTGGAGCATGCTGGCATGTATTTGAGGAACGCTGAACAATACTCTACTCATGACCACAATCCAAGGAAGGTCATAGTATTATTTGATTTCTGAATACACCGGAATTGTGAAAGGTTAATGAATTTGTATGCGGTCACACAGTGGCATGTGAAGGCAGTATTTAAACCATAAGGTGCCTGTGACCCAAGGCTGTGTTTTTAACCTTGAATTATTTTATTTCTTTCAAGGCTAGCCATCATATTAGGCTATGCCATACGAAACTGCTGGTACTTAAGGTTTTTGACCCTTGGGCAGAAACAATTCCACATTGTTTAACTACAAGGGACTCGATAACGTGAGAAAGATG